TGGTGTGCATCTGCACAGGCCTTGGTGTGCCATACAATATTTATTCCACACGTGGATGGAAAAAAATTAGCAGGGACCTTGCCGGCAGTCTGTGCTTCTCTGGGTGGTGCACATCCGCACTGGCCTTGGTGAGTAGTATAAAATTTATCCCACACATAGATGGAAAAAAAATTAGCAGGGACCTTGATGGAAGTTTGTGCTTCTCTGCATGGTGCACATCCAGACCGGCATGGGTGGGAAAAATTAGCAGGAACCTTGTGGGAGTAAGTGCTTCTCGGGGTAGTGCGTGTCTGCACAGGCCTTGCTGCGCCACACAAACTTTATTCCACACATGGATGGAAAAAATAGCAGGAACCTTGCTGGCAGTCTGTGCTTTTCTGTGTGGGTGCGCATCCACACCGGCCTTGGTGCGTAGCACAACATTTATTCCACACATGGATGGAAAACATTAGGAACCATGCTGGGAAGGACTCAGCCGCTGTCCTTCCGGCCTTATCTCCCTCCCAACCATGAGCTGGAACCAGCTAATCTCGCTGGTATCTGGCTGTCCAGCCACCCCCAGCCCTACCGACCCGCCCTCCCAGTCGACTCGCCCCTCCGGGATATTTTTAGCACTAAACTCCCAGGCGGCTGGGAGGCCTGGGCGAGCCGCGCCCGGCGCCCTTGGCCCAAGGATAAGCCCGGCGGCAAGGCCTGATAAGGGGCTATTCACGGCTCTCGGCGGGGGCAGAGGGACGGCGGGTTCCCGGCGGCACCTGTTTGGGCCACGAGTGGAGGGTTAAATATAACCCGCCCCTCCGGGATATTTTTAGCACTAAACTCCCAGGCGGCTGGGAGGCCTGGGCGAGCCGCGCCCGGCGCCCTTGGCCCAAGGATAAGCCCGGCGGCAAGGCCTGATAAGGGGCTATTCACGGCTCTCGGCGGGGGCAGAGGGACGGCGGGTTCCCGGCGGCACCTGTTTGGGCCACGAGTGGAGGGTTAAATATAACCAGCGCCCACGGGCAGACAGCGCCTGCAGCCGCGGACACAACCCAGCGTGGCCTACGCAGGACTCCTGGGTTCTCGCCCCGACTCTGGGAGGGGAGCGGGGGCTAGTGGTTAGAGCAGGGGGAGGAGGGGAGCCAGGACTCCTGGGTCTCACCCCTGGCTCTCCAGGGTTCAGTGTGTGTGTGTGTGTGTGTGTAGCAGGCCAGCCTGGGCGTGTGCACACACTCACATGCCTGGTCACACACCCCAGACCAGCTGAGGAAACAGGCTAGCAAGGGCTGACCCGGGGCCCAGGCGGAGGCTGGGAACTGCCCAAACTCCTAGTTTCCAGGCTGGGCTGGCCCGCTGCCCTGCCC